TGGATTGGTCATGGGAGTGCAACCGATTTCATGTTGTCTAGTCCTAAGTGCAGACCGAATTCTTTCGATCATATTTGCAATATGGCCACGAGGCTACGAGGTTCAGCATCGCGGTGCACATTAGTAGATATTAGTTGATTGGAGGTAATCGACTGGAAGCCCTGCTCTGTCTAGGTTTCGTGCTAGTTGGCACCTATCAGCAAGGCGTATCCGCCACGTCAACGGAAATGATATCTCGCCTGAGATTCGAACAAGCGTCACCCAGAGCTGTAATCACAGACTTAGTCAAAGTGAAAGATCCAGTTCCTAAGGTGACACAGAATAATTGTTGTATCTACAAAATTCAATGTATGAAACGTGAGGCTAATCATGTTAGAGAATGAGCACATGTTATTTATGAAATATTCACCTGACTGGTGGGTTGATGGTTCGAATCCCGTCGGGGTCTAAATTATCATTTTACCTTTAGTCATCACCTGGTATCAATATATTGATTTTGTCTCACCCTATTTTATGGTTATTTGTTAGTGAATGCATTGCAATAACCGAGCTCTTCTCCAGATTATTGATCCTATTGGGGAGTCATACCATAGTTGGATAAATTCCAATATAAATTTTGGAGTTTATATGCGGATTTTTTATTGATTGATTTCAGGTTGGTATTCATCATGGACTGACGTCATCAGGAGAACAGTTGGAAACCTGGAAGAACTGGACATCCTTTTCTTTACTAGTATGGTTCATCTTCGTCTTATTCTACATTTGGCTAAATTCCTATATTCTGTGAATCTAAGAGACCCCAACCGGTTAGTTTGACCTCACAGTCGTTACATGGAATTTGATAGATCAGATTATTTTGCTCAGTTGGTTCTATCGGATCCTTAAGCCAGCCGACAAAGTTTATCTCTGAGTGAGTTTGTAGGTACAAACACTACCGTAATTCTAGTCTTGTTGAAAAATCCCACGTCACCTTTTTGATGTTCCTTCCTTATATTCGCACAGTTCTCATTACTTCGTTTCATATTTGTTCTTAGGAATTGTTTAATGGATTGTAGAGGATAATTAATAATTGGTATGTTTTGAGTCCTTGTTTAAGTTCTTACATTGACTAGTGAGTTTTCTAGCTCTGTTATTTAGACATTTGACATAACCCTCCATAACTTATTTTGGGTGAGATGATTTGAAGTCTACACAGCTGTTAGGACGTGTTGGTTTACCGTAGACGGTAGTATCGAAACCATCATCTATTTTTCGTTTTACTCTGCAATCCAATATAGGTTATCCTCCTTGTTCAATTGTTACCTCGTATGTGAACTGGACTCCACCTACTACCGAGTTTATATATGTGAATAAACAGCATACACATGTCGATTTCCACACAGTAAATATGAAATCTATATATGGCCACCACATCTTAGGTACAGGATTATACTTTTGTACAGTCATATCTTCCCAACTACATATAAATATTAGTTGGTTGGAGGCAATGAGTAGGAAGCCCTACCCAACCTGGGTTTCGTGCTTTTTGGAATTCGCCAGCAAGGCGTATCTGCAACCTCGACGGAACTGATATCCCATCTGAGATTTGTAGTCAACGTCTTTACCACTGAGCTATTCGGGCCATGATTGACTTTCTGTAGGACTGGCTTACACGTATTGATTGGTCATGTTGTCTAATCTTGAGTGCAGACCGAATTCTATCGATCATATTTGCAATGTTGCCTACAACACTGAGTGACTCGGGTTCGAATGTCAGGTGGGACATCAGTTACGTCGAAGGTTGCAGATACGCCTTGCTGACCAGTGCCGAAAAGCACGAAACCTAGGCAGAGCGGAGCTTCCTACCCATTGCCTCCAGCCAACTAACATCAACTAATGTGTACCGCAATGCTGAGCTTCCTAGCTTGGTAACCACATTGCAAATATGATCGATAGAATTCGGTCTGCACCCAGGACTTGACAACATGAAGTTGGTTGCACTCCCGTGACGAATTAATACATATCCATAAATACATCTGCTACGATTAGGGACATTGGTGATTTCATTGCTACTCCTTCTGTTTGTCTATATATTTTGTCCTGAAAATTGAAGACTGTGGAGGTCAGGCACCAACTGTGCATCAAACATGATTTCATCTTGGTTATCTGAGATGGCCATAGTTTGGCAGACTAGTATCTATACTGACTAATGATTAAAGGTGAAATGAAAATCTAGACCACCACAGAATTAGAACTACCAACCATCGGATTACCGTCTACCATGCTCCACTGAATGAGCTACAACCTCCCACTGCCAAACACATTCTCATTTTTCACTTCGATCATTACCCAGTATAAATAAATACTAGTCTGTCAAACCACAACTATCTCACCTGGTCACATCATAATCAATATAATGCTGCCCACCCACACCCACACCCCAACCTCTCTAATTCAGTTATATTTCGATTCGGATGAGAAGTCGTGACTAGACACCTATGGTTGCTGGTTCGAGTCCTGCTGCAGTCTAAATTTCTATCTCACCTTTTATCATCACACAGTATTACACGGTTTCATCAACCGATACCTTGGTTCCATGAGTAAATTCTTAGTCAATACTTAGTTGATTACTGACTGCCTCCAGTACCATTCTGATTGGTATTTTTGTAAACACTTTTTACGAGTTTAATCTAAGACTTAGTGACCTAAATATAGAAGAGGATAAAAGAAAACCCTAGTTTTCTATTGAAGAGGCTTATACAGTGAAACTTTCAGAAAGTCTTGTTTTGATTTTCTAAACACCTCGGAATTATACTAAAATTTACCCTTATAATAACTGGATCAATTACCTTTGTAACTTCATAAGTACTTCAGTATTCAAAAGTCACTTAGTATTGAGTAACTTTTCAATTGGTTTATCGTCGTTGGACTGTTATTTTTACTGATTACCATTGGTTACAATATTGTTCATAATTGACTGCAAAACCTACATGTTGGCATCAATTACACAAGTTCAATAATTGTTACTCATCGTTGGAATTCCCTATATAGACGGAATTGGAATCAACTATTCCTTTCCTTGACGGGCCAATTACAACACGTAGCAATGGAATAAACACTAAAACATCCATCTATAGAAAACCCATATGAAATGTACAGCTTACTAATCTGTATAGTTGAGTGGCGATCGTGAGGAAAAGAAACCTTATTCACTCACTCTGCTATCGAATACGAAATGTTTGTAGTATAGACTATATGCAAGTTGAATTCAACTTCTTAAGAGGTACGCTTTCGGAAAACGACTATCTTAACTGGTTTATTGATAGTGATTTGTGAGAATGATATACAAAACTAGTTACCAACTCAGTTTCTATAGAGACCTTGTTCATGAATCTGGATGTAAAGGTGATGTTGTATTAGACATGTTGAAAAATCGTCTTTCGAGTTCAATTAGTCGGACTTTTTCCTCAGTCAAAGTTCATTTGACATTTACTAATTGTAAACTGTTCTATATATGTGTAAAAGATAAAATCCCCCGACAGGCGACCTCTAATGTATCTACCGGTTCACCTGTACATTGACCGTAGACGGAGATTGCTGTCAACGCATATACGAGAACATATTCTAGCCTAGTTTTATAAGAGTGAAAGGAAAAGCATTAAAAGTTCTATCCTTGAAATGATCTGAACAGTGATCTTAAGACTGCCTATAGAAACCGCTGGAAGATTCCAGATATTCTCTGTTTTCCGCTCCTGGAAACACCAGAGGCCTTGGCTATTCATGAAATGAAGCTTTACCATCTTGTGCAAAAGAAGAATGTACAGTCTTTGCCTCTATATTGGCCTTGACTTAATTTGGTCTTGCTTTGTCCAAGTTCTTTGTCAGATTAATCTTTTTACTCTTATATCGTCATTATCATTATTATTATTTTTGGTTTAGTAGTTTCCGGTGTTACTTCATTTAATCTTCTTGATGATAGCAACTTTTAACATAAACACCCTGTGAACGATTCAAAAAATCTTGCTTGACCTTTTTCTGTTATCATTCAATCCTTATGTCATCAACTAGTAACATCTATTATTGATACTGAGTGACGATTGAAGGTGAAATGAAAACTTAGACCACGGCCGGATTCGAGCCAACGACCACCAGCCCTGGACCTATGTTTCCTGCTTTTTGGCACTCGTCGACAAGGCGTATCTGAAACCTCTACTGAACTGATGTCCCGCCTGAGATTAGAACCCACGCCACCAAGTGCTGCAGTCAGATACATTACCACTGGGCTACTCGGACAGTGACTGATCTCTCCAGTGACCAACCAGTTTATGTACCCCAGTCCTACAGGAGGTCGGTCACGGCCCGAATAACCCAATGATAACGTCTCTGACTGCAGCACTAGGTCACGTGGCTTCGAACTTCAGACGGGACATCAGTTTCGTAAAGGCTACAGATACACCTTGTTGACGAGTGCCAAAAAGTATAAAACCTAGGTGAAGCAGGGCTTCGCGTCGATTCCCTCCACCCAACCATTATATATATATATATATATATATATATATATATATATATATATATATATATATATATACGAATGTACGGCATGAAGATAAATTAGCTGAACGTCTTGATTTTGACCAGTTTATTTGTTAGCATTACCAAAGAAACTATAAGTGCATTTACAACTAACAGACCCGAACCCAGTATCCATCGCTTCAAATGCCGAAGAGCTATCTACTAGACTATTCAGGTGCGATAGCCACCAATTTTGCAACGAGCATTAGCTATAATTATATGTTGATACTCGTATTTCTCCGTTGTTATAAGTATCAACAAATGAATGGAGATTTAAACAAATGAAATCATAAATTTACTTTGAATCACCATCTAAAGTTTAACCATGTTTATAAAGGTCATCCTAACAACTACTGAGATGACCAATCACACTTCGTTATTTTATGAATAACCTTGCTAGTTGAAATATTGAAAACTGATTGGTTATTTCAGTAATTATAAGGATGACCTTAAAAGTCACTTACCACATTTTCTGGATAACTAAGATCCCGAGTTTGACTTTGGATAATAAAGCCAAATTTGTTAACATCGTTGCATAAATGAGAGTTGGTTACATTCATATTGCCATTATTATTATTATTATTATCGTTATGAGTATCATTGACACCCTCATTGATCTTCTTCTTCCCGCTACTATTACTAATATCAGTACTAATTGACTGATTTGGACAGGTTGACTGAGAGTTTCGATTCATAAAACGATGATAACTTAAGGATTTATGTTCATATTTATTCGACCAATGAGATGATGATGATGATGATGATGATGTTGATGATGATGATGATGATGACGGTGATATGGATGATTCTGGCTTCAGTTTTGTTATACATTCAGGATTTATTTCATTGATTGGATTTAATTTCACTTGACCATCTGAAGACACAGAATCTAAATACGAACAGAATTTTTTTTTCAAAGAAATTAAAACGCAAAGCCAATGTTATTCAACAATAAATCAATGAAAATATTCGTTATCTATAAAATGCTTTTTAAAATAAATAATTTTTTTTCAAATTTCGAAAGAGTTTTCTTTTCAAGTCGACATTAGCTTCAAGCTAAAGTTTCCATAATTGTCAATGAGAAAAAGTGATTTCTGCAACCAATCAAGTTTTAGGCCAAAAAAAACGTGTTGGCAACCTATTTGAATGACACTTACAGTATGTCTCAAATGAATAAATGTATCTCAAACTAGTGACTGTATATGGTAATACGTCCACTGAATAAACTTACAATTTTGAGTTCGATGACGTCAAAGCTCTCCAAAATTGAAGAGTTTCCAAATCATGATGACATAGACATGGTTTACAGCTGAAGTTCACCTTCAATAAAATTGTTTCTGAAATCTCCACAATCTTTCAAGCCAAATCAACTGCTATTGAGAAATAAGCATAAATTATCTAGGAATTCATTTTGGAGGTTGTGTGAGGATTTACTTATTGTTTCCAAGTTCGTATTCATTATGGACTGATATCAGTTGGAGGAAAATTGGAGACCTGGGAGCACTAGACAGCTGTCTCGTCCTAATATAGAACTCCTCACTGCTCACCAGGGGTCGAACCCAGGACCTCCATATCCCATGGCCAGCACGTTATCATTGAGTCACTGGGTCAGAATTCAGTGGTTTACTATCTAGTGCGACCTCAGCCCAATGCCATCGTTGAATAACTGTCTTCATGTACGACTTAGTTAGCTCCATTGGTCACTACTTCTCATTAGAACATCAGGAATCGCATCTCAAAGCAAATCATTAATGAAGTCATGCTATATACCAAACTGTCAGACGTAGAAAAGTAGGGACCCAGTGACTTAGTGATAACCTGCTGCCAGCAGAACCTGAAAGTTCTGGGTTTGATCCCTGGTGGGCAGGGTCATGGGTGTGCACTCCTGAGGAGCCCATTTACTGGGACGAAACAAGTGTCCAGTGCTTCCAGGCTTTCAGTGGTTGGTTCTCCAACTAATATCAGTCCGTTATGACTACCAACTGGATATCTATAAGTTCCTAGTTAGATGATGCTAATTAATGAAATCTGTTACCAAAGAACAAAACCATACACAAAGACAACTAACTAGCAGATAAGTAAATGAGACTTATCCGTTACCTTCAAGTCAAGTATAACATTATTACTTCTGTTTTCTCTCATGTACTAAACATAAAGTTTGGGATAGATAAAGTTTAAAAAACGTTTACTGCTTCTATTTATTTTAAACCATAAAACGTTCACAAACCCTTCATCTTCAGTCATAAACTCAAATAACAGTTTCCAAGTTTTAAACTTTTGTCTACAAAAATGAATATTCATCACAGATGTGTTAGTAAAAGGATAAAAATTCGGAGAACAAATTTCTTTTCATCTGACTATCTGAGATGGCCATAGTTCGTCAGACTAGTATCTATACTGGCTAATGATTAAAGGTGAAATGAAAATCTAGACCACCACAGAGTTAGAACTACCAACCATCGGATTACCGCCTCCATGCTCCACCGAATGAGCTACAACCTCCCACTGCCAAACACATTCTCATTTCACTTCAATTATTACCCAGTATAAATAAATACTAGTCTGTCAAACCACAACTATCTCAGCTGGTCATATCACAATCAATATGATGCTGCCCACCCCCACCCACACCCATACCCCAACCTCTCTAATTCAGTTATATTTCGATTCGGATGAGAAGTTGTGACTAGACAGACAGTGTGAACACGATCGAGTGGTAGTAACTCGTGATGAATTCACATGGTAGTCAGACAAAACTCATTGTGATTGAAGTGAAGTAAAGATCTGGTGAGGAGTTGTACCTGATAGCTCAATTGGTGTAGCATTGAGCCGGTAACCCTATGGTTGCTGGTTCGAGTCCTGCTGTAGTCCAAATTTCTATTTCGCCTTCAATCATCACCCAGTATAAATTTCTTCTGAGCGATATCATCCTGTGCAACTATATAATTACATTTTACTATAGCTAGGGTGCACGAAATGCTACTGAAGAATTTGAGTAATTGGAAACCACTGACACTTATGTGCAGTTTCCCCTAGGCAGCCAGATCACTTCACAGTGTTCTAAACACCAGATGGCTATTTTGCTAGCTCCGGACAGAGGTGGTTCATGGTGTAACCGGACAAATTCAACCCCTAGAGCCAAATTACTTTAGATATGGTGGGTTCGTGAAGTCTACAGATCAGCCTGAGTGCTTTCTAACTACTCAAGTTGTTCAGTAATAGTACCTTTCGCTAGTTCCTGGCACATTTGTCTCACAGACCACACCTTGTGATCTTTACTGTAGAGTAGTTTTCAGCAGAAATGTTGCCAACACCAAAAGACTCCTCAGCTGTAACAAATGTCAAGGTGGTATGCAGAAAGATGTCAGTAATTATCAATCAATGATCGTGGGTGCGTACTGCTGAGGGGTCCCATACTAGGACGAAACAGCTGTTGAGTGCTCCCAGGTTTTCAAAGATTCCCTAACTGACGCCAGTCCATGATGACTACTACCTCAAAATTAAAATCCCTATTTATCTAAAAAATACATTACTGTTTTCAGCGGTTCACAGTTTCCAACTTCTATCAATTCATCATATAGCATGACTGTCATCCAGGCGTGATCTGTGACGTCAACCAGTAGGAAGGAAAGTGGATGTCATCTGAAGATTTTGGGTGATAGTCGCCCCATATCGCGAATTGACTGAAGTAAGAAACTGTGAACCAATGAACTCCGACACAGTGGCTGGGTGATTAACACGTCCGCCAGAAAACCTGAAAGTCTTGAGTTTGGTCCTTAGCTGGGTGGTGGGTACGTACTACTGAGGAGTTCCACCCTTAGACGAAACAGCTTTCCACTGCCTTCAGGTTCTCATTGATTCCCCTAATTCATGTCAGTCTGCGATGAATATTACGTCATAATTATTAATTATCATTAGTTTGTACCCATGAGAATTTGAAAACGTGAGTAAATGTGAATCAAAATCAGAATGTTGGGAATTCGCAATCAAGTGAGTAAAGAGTCGTCGGTAAGCAAGACTATGAGGAATTTGTAACTGGGCTAAACGGAAATCGTCTATGTAATAATAGTAAGACTATTAAAAGATTAGTTAGACTTAAGAACTGGAAAGCTTAAGAATTAAGAAGTGAATAATGACAGGGAATGGCAAAGTTTCTTCTGGTTACATGACTTATGTTTTAATTATTGTATTCCCAGAGCTTCAGTAATCAAATGAAGGCTATCAAAAGAACATTTCGTGCAGCCAGTTTGCTAATCATCTACACTAGTCACTAAATGGTAAACATGTTTGCGTGTGTGAAGGACAAACTGCCACTGCTAACCACTTCAATATGTATGTATCAATTTACCTGCTCCTATGGAGCTAGGCAGAAGTAGACGTTCAACGTCGACCCCAACACCTTCTAGCATGGTTCAGTAAAGGTCAAAATAGATCAAATAGCAGCTCAATATTACATTTTGTTAACGCCGAAGATACAGTTCCAGAAGATTCGTTTGTACTAGTCTACAAAGTATGAAGAATTCTTCCGAAGGATGTGAGGAAATGTCTACTTTACTTCACATTACTGAAGCTGTGGCAATATAACGGTCAAAACTCGAGTTTTGTATCCAGTTCTTAGGTCCAACTAATCTTCCACTTTTTCTATTGCTATTACATAAAGGATTTTCTCTTAGCTCAGTTACAGATTCCTTATAACCTTGCTTACTCACAACTGTCTACTTCACAGGGTTACGAATTCTCTACTTCTTGGTTTCAACTCACATTTACTCACGTTATCAAATACTTTCCTATGTATTTTGAGGTTAATGGGGATTTTGATTTTCAGATAGTATTCATCAGGAACTGACTTCAGTTAGAAAACTGTTAAAAACCTGTGGGCAGTGATGCAGATGCATACTGCTGAAGAGTCTCATACTGAAACGAAACGGCCGTCCAGTAATTTCCTCTCTCTGATATAACTGCTATTCCTATATAATTTTCATGGCAATAAAAATACTAATAGTTAATAACTGATCAACAAATATTGAAATTTTTACGCATATTGACTATATTCAAATGTGGATTGTACAGCTGAAGAGGATGACATCATGCGAAAGCAATTTATTCGCTGAAGTCTTTATTCTTTGATAAATTAATGGAAATTCTGAAGTGTGTTAGTCAAAAATAATGTTCTGGTGAAGTATGGAATGAAAATAATTCCTATCCTAACTAATATCTTCAGAGATAAACAATTTCATTTATAAGAAGTTGATAGTAAGTGAGCGATCTTTTAAGGCGGTATTCATCACGGACTGACATCAATTGGAGAATCATTGAAAAAGTGAGGGAATTGGATAGCTGTTTTGTTCTAGTATGACATTTCTCAGCAGTACGCAACCAGGACTCGGCTAACGATTAAACCCTTGACCTTCAGGTTCCATAACAAACGCGGTAACCGTCCAATCACTGTATCGGAGTTCAGTAGTTCACAGTCACCTACTCCTGTTAATTCACGATATAGCGCAACTATACAGTTCAGCCTTTTTAAGCCTAGTCTCTTCTATACTTTAATTAAGTTGATATAAATTAAAGACTGGGAATTATTGGGCAAAAGCTACCACAGGGACAAAACGTTTATAATGAGAGTATCTCACATGTTTCGTTGAATAGACTAAGCTTTTGATTATTCCAGGCTACTGGTCAACACCGATGAGAT